CAATATCTCACGGTTCTCAACCAATCAGATTTGAGAACCAGAACGAACTGTTGTATAAATATATATATATATATATATATATATATTACAGAAAATTTCAAAGTTCCTTGATATTTCCAGGTTTTTCTTTATTTTGTCATTTATTTGTTTAAGCATGTCTTTGTCAGAGGTTTCTGTCAATCTGTTTGTTTTGTCATTTTGAGTGCTGCACCTGAAGGATCTCTCTTAGCGTCTGAAGTACAGGTGATCGGTACAGTGGAGATTCAGTCTGTCCTGATAACGGAACCATGTGTCCCAGCTGGACGCTCAGCCTATAGCAGAAACAGGGCGGTGGGACTCGATCCTGGAAAGCAAAAACTGGCCTGACTATTTAAAAATCAAGTAGTTCGTTAAATAGTTCAGAAGGGTCATTTTATGGAAACAGACTAATACCATTTATCTCTGTCACCCGAAGTAAAGCTCCCTTCCCAGTCAACTTAGAATATTTATAGAAACAAAACAGCAAAAACGCTCATTCAGAAGCCACCATAAGCTCATTAACATATGGCTGCCTAGATTTGCATATATTTACATTACTTGGCCCGCTCTGATGAAAAAATACAACTGTTTTTGGTGAAGGTTCAAAAGTAGCGTCTTTCAAGATACAAAAGGATATTAAAATGCTATGAATAGTAGAAAATGTTACTTTAAAGCTGCTTTTTTAAACCCAAGGCAGAAAAAAGGACTAATAAACGATGAATGTAACTACTTATCTGTCCCAAGCAACACATTATCTACAAAACAAGCAGATTTTAATGGCGAAAAACTGGAGATACAGTTGACATTCATGACATTCTGATGTGTAGGTCTCTCATTCAGTGTAAGTCTAAGGGATTTGTTGCCTGTTAGGTGAAAATTTGAAGCATAAATTCATGTCTGGTATGGGACGAGGCGCACCGCAAAGTTTAATACTCAGCGTCAGGGGTTTGTTTAAATCACTAACTCTTAGTACGAGAAATTGCAGTAATGTTTGTCTTCGCAACCACCGCTAATGAGTAATTTTGTGTTTTTAAGCTCTGAAGGTTTATTTATATGTGCTTTGGTTAAGAATGCAGCGCGGCGGTTGTTTTGACGGTGTACTGCCGCTATCCAGGAGGAATCTTCCAGAAGCAAGAGGTATGCGAGATAAATATGAAGTAAACACGGCTTTGATTTACGACGTGATCTGAAAACCTACTCTGGGAGACTGCAGAAGATCGTCATGAGATTTTGGATCAACTGGAGGAGGCCACAAACTGTCAATCATACTGAAGAGCGGAGAACATCTGCAAAGAGAAGAGAGAGGAAAAGAAATAAGGTTTCAATCTCTGAATGTTCAAATTCAGGGGTCCTTCCAGAAATGCGGGAGCCGGAGGTGGAGCGTATACACTGTCAGTCTCATTAGCTTCGGTTGGACTGACGTGCTGCCAAGTTGAGCTTCTGTTGGAGCTGAATAGTGTCTGCTGACAAGTACAAGATCAGTTTCACTAGCAGGCTGAGGCTTGTTCACACACACACACACACTCACACTCACACAGGTAAATAATCTGTCATTAAAACATCCAAGAATTAAATTATCACTATTCAAAATGCTGATAATTTAATATTTGGCAGGCCAAATGTTATTTTAACACTCCAAATTTGAGGTTATGCTACTGACAAAACATCTCAGACAGACTGACATACAGACAAAAGGACAGAGATCAGCTCTGTCTGTGTTTGATTCAATAGATTGACAGATAAACACTCCAACAATATGACAATTATAACGGATATGGCGCAAGTAGGTATCAGGGTTATTATCGTTAACGAAAACTGAAACTTTTTGGTAACTGAAAAATTTTAACTTTTTGGTACATTAAAAATTTTAGATGAAAAACTAAAGGAAATTTAGAAATGTTACCTTGGCAACTAACTGAAATAAAAACTAAAACTGAAATAAAAATAAAAATAAATTGAATCTAAATAGTTATAATAATAATTTAAAAATAATACAAAAATAAAAAAACATCCGAATAAAAAAGCACATAAAATTACCAAAGATTAAGCTAAATTTAAAAAGAAAGCTGAAAATATAATAAGAAAAATAACAAATTCAAAATATTAATAAAAAATAAATAGTAGTTTTTGTAAAAAAAAAAATGGCAAAAGCATAAACCTACTACAATTAGAAAAAACGAAATCTGAAAATGTAAAAAGAAACACTAAAAATATTATTTAAAAATAGTAATTTAAATAGTAATATTTTAAGAAGTAATAAAAATGAAAAAAGCACATTAAAAAATTGCAAATGTTAAACTAAAATTAAAAAGAGACTAACAACATAAAAATAAAAGCTAATTCAAAATACTGACAAAAACTATTATAGTATATATAGGGTATTCAAGTTGCTATATGGCTGTTTGGAGATCATAAGAAGTTCTTGATTTTTCATTACAGATCAAATTTAGTTTCTGGATTCTTAAAAGCTCCCTTACATAGATGGATTTCTAGATCGCAAGAATAAAATGTTCTTAGTGGAGCTTAAAAAGCGTTCTTGAACCCTGTGTGTGCCTCAGTGCAGAATGATCTAATCCCTCACAACCAGTTCCACAGCTGTCTTAATCCTCACCTCTTCCCTTGACCCGCTCAACCGCCCTATCCAGTCCAGCGGGACGAGCCCTCGCTGAAAACACTCAACATACTGAGAGAATCAGACTGAAATTAAGCCATATAGCTTATGTCTTGCAGTACAGACAATCATACTGTTCATTTCTGGAGAAAGTTGTCTATTCCTGAGCATTAACTCCCCCCCCAAAAAAAATCACATTTTCACAGTATTTTGTTTTTACATGTATGCATTTAACAGATGCTTTTATCCAGAGTGACTTACAAAAGAGGAACAAAGCCATTTCGCAAAGAGCCAACAATGCCAGGTTTATTAGACAACTATTAAAAAGTAGATTAGTAGTTTTCTTGAAACAGCATTCAGAATTAGAAAAAACAAGATGAAAAAGAGAAGATGAGCTAGATCAATGTAAGGTGCGATACAGAGCCTTTCCCTATACATAACTGATCCAAACATGCACTAAATCATCTATTTAAGGTGTAGTTCACCAAAAAATTAACGTTTTGTCATTTATTTTTGCAAATAGAAATAATGCTGAAATAATTTTAAATATTTTATGAAATTAATGAATTAAATAGACTAAATTTACTAACTGGTAATAAATAAAAACTAAAAGTGAACTAAAACTAAAACAAAAATAAATTAAACCTAAATAGTAAATTAGTAATATTAAAAAAACTAATAAAACAGATCTGACAAAAAGTATAAAACGACAAAAAATTAACTACAATTATTATATTAAACCTAAAAATAAAATCTAATTTAATAAACATTATTAAAAACTATAATAGTATATAAATGATAATAAAATAACACAGGTTCCAAATGAGGTACATCAATAGAAGACAAAAGGAGATATTAGTCATAAAGTCCAGGCTGCTCTTTTCCATACAACGAAGTTGTAAGTACAAAAGTGTGATAAAATTACCATGAAAGCAGTCTAAATGACTTCTGCACTGAATTTCAAGTGCTCTAAAACCATCATTCACTCGCTTTATGAGAAGAAAAGACTAGAATTTAAGAAGTTATTTATTGAAAATCTTCCCCTTCTCTAATATTATCAGCAAATAACTACTAAAATTCAAATTTTTCTTCAAATAAAGCAATCATACGGCTTTAAAGGACATATTTTATGTTCTTAGTGTCTTTTTGGAGACTGACAGTCCCAGTCCCCACTCACTTTCATTCTATGGACATCTCTTTTTGAGTTCCACAGAAAAAAAAAAAACACACAACATGAAGTTTTGAAGTGCAAGAGCAAGTAAATGATGACAGAATTTCCTCAAGTGCCCTAACCCTAATCTCACAGACCCTATTCACCATATAGATGGCCACTGATCCCACATAATCAGTGCATGCTGAAAGGCATCTTGGGTATTCGTGTACACGGCTCATGTTCATATCTGTGGAAACGTGTCACCAGAATTTCCCATCACGTGCCACCTTCAACTTAAACAACATATGTTAAAGCAGTGGCCACGACGCAGACAAGCTTGAGTGAGCAGACGCATGTGACGAGAGGCCAATATAATACTCAACGCAGATGTAAATCTAGCAGGCTGGAGTGCTGCAAACACACTGACACTGTGAGCTGCTAATCTGAGCCCGAGCAGGTGGAAATAGGAGCCCATATTAACTTTCAGTTCAATGGAGTACAGTAAGGTTGACTAATCATTCACAAATAGTGCAGAAAACAGGGCACAGTTTGAGACAAAATAGGAAGATATGCTGTTTGAATACTAAACAAATAGTTGGATTTAGGAGGATAAATAAATTTTATTTCAAATTTGCTCTTTATAGTTTCATTTATATTCAATAAATAAATATGACTTAATTCATAACTTTATATCCTGTAAATAAATTATATATGTGTATATATATATATATATATATATATATACTCTATATATATATGTATAGTGGGTACGGAGAGTATTCACAGCAAGGAGGAATGGCAGAGGATCCCCAAATCCATGTGTGAAAAACTTGTTGCATCTTTCCCAAAAAGACTCATGGCTGTATTAGATCAAGAGGGTGCTTCTACTAAATACTGAGCATTTTTCAGTTTTTCTTTTTTAATAAATCTGCAAAGATGTCAACAATTCTGTGTTTTTCTGTCAATATGGGGTGCTGTGTGTACATTAATGAGGAAAAAAAATTAACTTAAATGATTTTAGCAAATGGCTGCAATATAACAAAGAGTGAAAAATTTAAGGGGGTCTGAATACTTTCCGTACCCACTGTATGTATGTATCACACACACATAATATAAACATATTCATAAATATTTAAATAACTATGACTATTCATAACTATATTATGTAAATTTATATAAGTACATTAATAACAACATTTCAAAAAAATATTTATATGAAAATACATGACAAAGAATAATATAATATAATATAATATAATATAATATATAAATCCAGCAGGCATTTGAGTTGTTTTGCAATATAATATATATCGTTGCTATTGTCCTAATTTGAAAGTTGCTTTTTATAAAACCATCTGCTAAATGATGCATGTAAAAATAAAATAAAATAAAAGGATGCTTTAAAAGAATATTTTTCAGATCAGCGGGATGTTTTTAGTGTTATGTGATTATATCATAGACTCACTTGTCGCGTGTGAGACGCTGGACGACTCTCAGGGCCTGGAGGAGACACACATGGCCCTCCAGCTGCTCCGAGTTCTGCTGGATCTCTGATTCTGTGGACACACAGTGCAGAAGAACCTCACCGAACATCCCGTAACTGTCCTGAACTAGAGCACACAACCTGAGAAAGAGAGGGAAAACAATCACTTTCAACCATTTAACAACCTTTAGTAAATTTTTCCCTACTGCTTTGCACTACTGATTTAGTTTCAGTATCTAATATTACTGATTTACTCCATTTGCACTACTGTTATTTAACTTTACTTTACTCATTACTTTTGCAACATAAATGTTCAGTATTTTATTGTGGCAATAATAAAGCACACTAAACTGAAATTAAAATGGCAAGAAAGAGAGTGGTTAAGAAAGACTGAAGTTGTGACTACCTTTCTAAAATTCCAGCAGGCATTTGAAATTATTATGACAAACTGTATTTATAAATAAACTGCCCAAAATGAAGACCTGCAAATGTGAGTCTCTGATGAAGAGGGAAGCTTCATCCCAACAACAAACATTCACATAGATACAGATACTGTCTGCAGATTAAATGTTGACTTTGGCACCAGACAGGGCCTAACTAATAACTTGATCTATGGACTGACTCGCAGCGGTCACATGGCGGTGTTTCTATACTCAAAATGATATTTTTGCAGGTATTAATAGTCTCTACAGATAGTCAGTTCACAGAAACTGGTGACTTTTTTGGAGCCAGTAAACCACAGGACTAAACAAACAGGCTGGTATTTAAATATATTTTCACATGCTAGACAGTGATTTGATTGCACAGTAGAGATAACTATAGTAGAATACAAAAATAAACACAGTTGATTCGTACATTCTTCACACTGATTTGAAGACGTGTTTAGTTTAAAAAGTGCTTGCAAGGCAGAACTGCACTGATATTCCTGAAATCATCTACTTTTATTCTTTTTCTTGTCCACATTTTCTGCAAATAATTCAGCTCAAACCACTTAATGTGCAGACCAATAACAAACACTGTTTAGTAGACTGTTTAGAACAGAGATTCACAAACTTTTTGTCAGCCGAACCCCGCTTTGACCCAAAAATATTTATTTGAAGTGCTTTTTTTAACGTAAATATTTCAATAACTTAACAACGCTCATTTGTTCACGGTTTTCTGATGTTAGTTAATGGTCACATGACATGGAAAAACAAATAAAATATTTAATATTTTTTTATTAAGGGCCAGATTTACTAACAGCTTGCACCAGCGCAAACCGTCTTTTGTCATTAAAATAGTACTGTCAGGATTTATTACTTTCTGCCTATTTTCTTATTGATTTCTGTCCATTATCTCACCTTTTGTTGCAAAAGGCATCACAGAAGTTTAGTTAGGTGTTCATATGCAGAGTCGACAGAAAACAAGATTCTCTCAAACTTCTTATCAGATATGAATCAGTTTAAATTTTCCCATTAATTTCTCTTTATTTATCTCATCAATTTCTCTCATCTTTTGCTAAAGGTGACAAGAAGATGTGCTGATTCACACGCAAAACAAGATTATCTGAAGTTCTTTTGATATATGTTCCGTTGTGTTCAAAGAAGCTGCTCGGATATGAATCAGTTTAAATTTTACAGCAATCTCAATTTTGCTATTTAGTCATTTAACATCTATACTGTCCAAAAAAAAAGCACTGTGTCTTTGCAAGACATTGTGTTCAACTCAACTCGAGCCAGATTAGGTAGGATAAAACAATGACGTTTCGTGTTAACAAGTCAAGTCACAATACAGATACAGATTGTGTCAAAGCAGCTTTACAGTGTTAAACGGTTTCAATGATGTGGACAAAATTCTATTTCTCGGTTACACTTTATTTCGATAGTCCACTTTAGACATTATATTAACTATAAGTAACTTTGTAACTACATGTCAACTAATTCTCATTCATTTGCAACTACATGTCTACTAACTCTCAGAGTAGACTGTTAGGGTAGGTTTAGGGTTAGTTGAATAAGTTGACAAAGAAAGTGTTAGAAGATATTAAGCAGACAGTCTACTAATACTCTACTAACTGCTAGTTGACATGTTGTTGCAAAGTTACTTACTGTTAATAGAATGTCTAAAGTGGACTATCGAAATAAAGTGTTACCAATTTCTCTAAAAAAAGAGGACAATAGTAAACAGTCAATTTTCCAGTAACCGTCAGTTCATTGTTGATTCAGTTCAGTTTAATAACTGGGTGAAGTTCATCAATTATGGAATGAGTTTAATTCTTCTATAAAGCAGCTCTGTAGGAAACAGTGATGTCATTATCCAGCTCTGCTTTCAAAACATAAACAAAGCAGGTAAACTCGATAAAACTAACGATGACGGCGCGATACGAGATGACCTTTGATAAACCATGACTGGCATATCTGGACTCAACCTGACCTGTTGTTACCCTGTTGTAGCGCTGCTAAAGAACACGGGGCTTAAGTGAGTGTGGTTGTGAACACTGAGGCTTGTTTAGACCCGTGTGTCTATGAATCCGGAGAACAGGAGGGGTGACTGGGCAGTAGCATTTTGTGGTATGGCCAAGTTGACATAAACAACCCCCTTCTTTATTCCCCGTTTCAGGCGCTTCCTTCAACGGAACGGGACTGGGGGGCCGATGCCCCCACCGGGTCTCTGTCATTGGTCAGCCGCAGTCACTTTCAGGAATCTATTATTGTGAGCGTTCGCAGGAATTCGCAGCGACTTGGAGGCGCTTCCAGGAACTGTGATCCATTGAGCTTGTCCAAACACTCACACACACACACACACATTTCACACAAGCCTACTCGGTGTAGGTACCCCACTCCCCCTCCATTTCCTTCACACACGCACCAAAACTTCTCTGGCAGCTGATTGGCTGAGGCGCAGGGGGCGGGATTCCTTCCGGCACGGCTCTGGCCAATGGGAGCAGAGCTTTTGATAAACAGGGCTGTAATCCGACACGTAAAGCACATTGTGTTCCACTTCTTCTAGAAAACATCCAACCCCTCCTGTCTGAGCACAGAGAACTTCTTCAGCCTGTTTATACTGCTCTGAGTTTTTACTGGAACAACATATCTTCTTGGGCCCAAAGTTAAATGCTAATTATTGTCTGGAAACTGGCCACAAAAAATCAAGGAGGAGAAAGAAACATAACGAGAAAAAAAAAAGGCAGGACGTAACTGCAAACTGGTTGAAATGAGACCGGTGGTCTTGTTGAAGCACACACATGAAAAGAATAAATATTGTCAACATCTAAGCTGCATATGGAGGGTATAAACATGGAAAATGGATTTCAAGCATATGCTTATAATCTGATTTTAAGCATGTGTGTAGTGCTTATAAACAGAGCCAAAGACAGCTCCAAAATAAGAAACAATATGTGCATTTTACCAGTGTTATTAACTACAACTTAACCTATAAACCTAACCTTGAAATTGTTTCTGTTAATTAAAATAAAGCTGAAATAAAATAAAATGTAAATATTAGATGAAAAGTGTAAAAACCTTTAGAAATGTTACTGAATAAAATTAATAAAACTGA